GGGGGGGGGGGAAGACAATTAGACAAGAAAATGAAAGAAGAAATTTCTTCTTCACTGTTTGATGTAGGAAATTAACTTTTTTCAATACAAAATACCTCCAATGTATTACTTCTATTTTGTGCAACAAATACACTTTTTAAATGCAAGATACCTGCAACAAATCGTTATCTTCTATTTTGTGCAAGAAATTAACTTTTTTTTGAAGCAAAGTAACCCCAACTTATATCTTTGTACTATTTTGTAAAGAAAATTGAAGACATTTTCTATTTTGCGCATGATTTTAACATATTAAAATGCAAGATACCTCCAAGAAGATGTTTCTACTATTTTCTGCAACTAATGAAATTTTCTTCAATGCAAAAGACCTGCTTTAAATGTTACTATACGTATCTCACTGTAACTGTTATTCATGTAATTCTATATGAGCTTGTTTTATGTTTATGTTATTCTCTTTGCTCTTTAAAGAATCTGCTGCACTCTCTCTTAATGTCATTTTGTAAAGCATTTGCTTTCAGCTCATCTATTGTTGTTTTGTATATATTGATTGTTCTGCTTTTATTTGTGTCTCAATGTGTGCATATGTATAAATGTGTACAGTATATAGGTATATACATATCTTTATATATATTTGTATTTTGTACACACAAACTGAAAGATTGACAATAAAGTTGACTTTGACTTTGAGCTATTAGGGAACATTTAGTGTTGTGACCTCTGACCTTTTGGCCTCTCCTCCACACCGTCACACGGACGTCGGCGTTGAGAGGAAGTTTTCCGAACGAAACCTGAAGAGAGTCGCCGACCGCCATCACCGACATCTCCGGAGCCGTCAGGACCGCTGAGGGACAAACACTCAGGGGTTTACTCAAGTTACAAAGGTCTGACGTTGGATGAATGAAAGTACTTTGAGTTCTCTAGCTATAAAATGAAACTGAAATTACACTTCGTTACACAAATCCAGATTTTTCTCACTTTTGATATAATTTTGGAAATTGCGATGTTCCTCTAAATGTTCTTCTTTAATCTCAGAGAATATGGAAGTTTGTTTTTGTTTTGTAAAGGACAGACTATGATCACAGAGAATATCCCGATTATTATTTTTATTGTAAATTACATAATTTTAAACACTTTCTTTTTCATTTTTTGTTTCTTTTCTCTGAAATGTACCACTTGAATCTCAGAGAATATTAAAGGTTATTTTTCTTAATTATGTAACTTGATCGGGATCTACTCAGTGATTAGTGTCACACATTTTCGACAAAAGGTGTATCTGAGATTAAAGAGTTACATTTACCTATTTTTTATTTCATAGATTGAAGTTGTACATTTACCAGATACAAATATATTATTAACGAAAAATATGTTTTTCTAAATTATACAGGGATAAAACTCTGAATTTAAGTTAATCAAATGTGTTCATTTAAAAAAAGTAATTAAGATACTCTCTGTGATTAAAGAGGAAAACAAATCACAAATACTGAGAGTTTTTTTGCGTTTGTTTTCTCGCGATAAAGGAGATTTTGTGCAGGATTTAGAAAGCGCCTCACTGTCTTTGCGGTTGAACGGAGCGCTGAGTTCGGTCCAGGCTGAAGTGGCGGCTCCGCACTTTGCTCTGACCCGAAGGCTGTAGTCCGAGTCTGAGCCGAGCTCAATGGTCACGTCGCAGCGAGGGTCAGAGGTCAGCTGACACTCGGTGGCGTTGACCCAGTTGCCGTTCTGCACCAACAGCTCGAACTGTCTGAGGGCGACACAAAGAACGAGATGAAGTTAGAAGTCCATCTCTTTTTTGGATTTATTCTACTATTTCAACAATTAGACAGTTTATATATCTGAGAAACAAACACAATGAGTAGCAGCAGGAGGACAGAAAGATTATACAGAGGTCGCTCTCCCGTTAGTCATCCAGTTGCAGGATAAAGAAAACTAAAAGATAATTCCGTAATTAAATACTCTCACAGATAAACACATTTCTATATATACATATGTACACTTTTACATACATTATAATATTCATGAATCCTTTCCTTGCACACTTAATGTATATAACATCCATAAATGTGTATTTCCACATGTTTATTATTACATTTTTTATATTTTTTAATGCTATTTTATTTATATTTCAGACATTTACATTTTGGATTGTTTATGCAACGCAAACATTTAGCAAATTGGGATCAATGAAGTCCTTCTTATCTTATCCTATCTCACTGATATACATAGTGATCACAGAGGGACCCGCTTTAAAGAGTCCTTCTTCTTCCTCTTGGGCTTCCCTCCTCTGCAGTGTGGTGGAAATGTATCGAGGCAAACCAGTAAATAATAATAAAATGGTGAGGAAACTTTCCGTTTTACTGAAATGAACATTATTGGAATAAGACGGTCTTTTAGGAGTTATTCTTGCAAGAAGGGAAACCGTTACAGAGAGTCAAGCAGTCTGCCGCCAAACACCATTTATTCAGCTTCACTGTGAGCAGAGATGCAGAAACTCAAGATCTGCACTAAATGCAGATATAACCAATCAATCAATCAATCAATCAATCAATCAATCAATCAATCATCATATCACCGTCCCTCTGAGGCTCACTGCACAATCTGCTTAAATCATGTTTTATAATTGTTTGTGTGATCGAGATGATGCAATGCTTTCAGTGTTTGATTGTTGTGAACCTGCCTGAGGGCTGCAGATGGAAATGAGCTATTAGCTCAAATCTGGCATCATTCATCTCCTCTCTTTTCTGAGATGAATGTATTTGTATGCACGGTCCTCTTTGAAATACATACATGATAATAACAAAAGTTCAGGAGGTCTTCAGAGGGTCTTATATTCACATGTTCACACCAAGAATAGAAGAGGAGGGGCTGAGACAAACACAAAAGATAAACATACTACATATAGGATTCTTTTAAACTTGAGAAACATCATGTCTGCTGTCCACAAGAGGACCATGAACAGCTCTAACACCATTTACGACTCATTGAGGACATGTGCTGCTACCTGTTGTTAGAAATAGCTTGTAAAAGGAGAACAGATGGTGAACTTGAAATTCCCCCTTCAGCATGACCCAATTTCCCATTACACTAGTGTATACCAGGTACGGGCTAATGTTGCCCGGGCAACGGCCTGTTTGCCCTTTTTGGCTGACCTGCCCCTCTGGAGAGACGGTTTCTGTTGTGCTCGAATCAACACGATAAGCCCACAGTTAGTATTGTAGCGTCTCGCTGCGGGAAACACACTTTGTCAGCGCTGTCGTCTGCCCCCAGTCACGTGACTTTGTTTACAAACTGACAGCTGGAAGCAAAGGAAAGCCCTCCGGCCTCATATGGTGATCACACCAAAGGCCTGCCTGGCTTTGGTGGCCAATCCCCGGCTCAATCTGTCCCCGGAAATGTCCCCGTGTTTAAATATGCTTTATAAACACACAGCAAGGTGGAATACGATTGTAACAAAGTTGATGTTTCAATGGCGTGGTGCTCGTTCGCAGCAATACAATTATTGTAGCCTTAGCGTTAGCATTTAGAGTTTCATTCTTCTTACACTACTTATTTTACTTCTCCTTCTTCT